TTTTCCAGATCATCCTTCGTGGCTGCTGTCTATACCCTTCTATTTCCCCCCCTTTGCATGAATTGATAACAAGATTTCACGGAGAAGATACCATCTTCCTTCAAAGTTCGAAGTCCACTGTCTATATCTGATAGACATATGTAATCCCAGCACCCCTACCAGCAAAGTAATACTCCCCATTTTCCAATCCTGAATGTTTATTTTCCGGTTCAGATTCCTTCCCCCTTCACTGCTGCATTCTGCTATAGTGCATCTCTCGTGACCATTAGATAATATATCCATTTATCTCTTTGAGGGGAGCATATCCGGTCCGGCTATCCTGCACTAATCTTATTTCCTGCCATATTCCCACCTTTAATCTTGTGAAAGGTTGGAAATCACTCCATAATTTGCTGAATTGTTTCCAGAGACCTACCATGAGAGGTCTTGACTGATTTATCGCACCAGTAGTCTCCACACCTTTGATCACCTCCTTCATTTCATCTTTTTCTTCACTGAATCTCCATAGCCATTTAAATAATAGACTGCTATTTTGCAAGATCAAGTCTCTCACCCCAGTCCCCATCTTTTTTCGCGGCCTTTCGCCTCTCAAAACAGTTTGCCACTTGGTTAGATGCATCATCTTTCTATATCTATTGCCTTCTCACAAGAATTCTGATGATGGGACATTCTAGTTTACATGTTTGGGAATTTTTTTTCCTGTCCAATTGTTCTCGTTTTCTTCAGTTTATTTCATGGTATGAGAACTTTCCATGTTAATAATCTTCTCCTAATCTTATTCTAACTTGAAATGATCTGGAGGTGGTGGTCTATGAAGGTATGGTCAGGGAAAAACCATCCACTGAAGCAGAAGCACGACAGTTCATGAAAGGTTTACCATTTCTCCAAATGATTCTTGGTATATTAGTTTTGTAATTCTGCTAGTCTTACACTGGTAATTTGCAGATTACGCTAATGGACATGCAGCAACTGTTAGTTCTGTTCTTGTTACAAACCTGGTAACAGGATGCAGAAGAGGAGAATGGGACAAAGTAGAGGTACCTCTGTTGATTTCTTCTCATTTTCAATCATCAGATTGCTCTCTGTGGCTTTTTATGCATTTTTGCTTTTCAGTGGATTTGCGTCTACTTGCAATCTCAAATTTGCAATGAATACCTCTAATTTAAATATTAATAAATAAAAGTATTAAATGCTCACAGGCGATTAATGACTTCTACGCGTTGGGTTAGGCTTATTGAACACTTCACAAGGTTCCAATTCCCAAAAGCCATTCAAATTAAAGTTTACAGAGATGAGTTTGTGGAAAGTAGAAGTTAGTTGAAGTTGGGCCAGATTGGAACTACGTATCTGGACTTGTGAGACAACACCAACAACAACAAACCTAGTGAATTCCAACAAGTGGGGTCTAGGGAGGGTAGTGTGTACGCAGACCTTACCCCTTCCCACTAGTATCTGGACTTGTGAGAATGAGGCAAAATTTATAACTGCTGAAATGATGTTCAAATACTGATGATATTGCATAGATTGTTGTTTCCGACATATTCAATTACCATGTTCTTAGGTTCTCAAGATTATAACTTCCACAATTATGCACCTATTGTCTGATGATCTGGAAATTTTTTGTGTATATTCAGCTTAGCTTAATCAAGTGTTTAAGCATGTTACCAAAAAGTACAAACGAGTGATGAAATTATTGAGTTTTTACACTTGCATTTGCCTTCAAGAATGCTTGACCTTTTCCTAGATTCATTCAGATATCCACTACATTTGCTTATTGTCTTAAATCAGGAAAATTGCCTATATCCTGTTTGGCTTTTTAATCATTAAGTGTTATAACATGTTACCTCAGTGAAGATCATAATCATAAGTGGCTCTCTTTCTGATTGCATAAGTTCTTTCAAGACGTATCCGCTGAAGTGGTTGAGGCCTTAACGGTATATTTTTCATTAGCCTGGTTGTGAATTCTGGCTTCTGTTGCTGTCATTGATCTATTGTCTATTGTTTATTTTCTTCTTCTTGAGCCGAGGGTCTTTCGGAACAGCCTCTCTATCCCTCTGGGTTAGGGGTAAGGTTTGCGTACACTCTACCCTCCTCAGACCCCACTTGTGGGATTTTATTGGGTTGTTGGTGTTGGTGTTGGTTTGTGAATTTTGGATTGCAGCACAAGTTCAATGCTGCAGCTAATGGTTTCTAATAGTGGAAGTACCATTTGTACCTTTACTTTTGTTTTCCACCTGAATTAGGAAGTCCACCATACCTTTTCCCGTTCATCCTCTTCCGAAAAGTCAATGCAAGCATCCTTTTCCCGTTTAAGTGCAGATTTTCAGAAAGCTGCCATAAATCCTTCCACAATATGCTCAGTGATCAAAGAGTTTCTAATTAATTTGATGGTTGTGATTGAACTGACTTTCAATGAGTTGGAGATGGAAGGTTCGCCAGGTGAGATTGTTTGTGTTAATGGGAGGTTAAACTCGTGAATCTTTAGAGAAAGAGAGACCCTTTTTGTTTATCCCTTTCGAGCATGTGGCTTCGCCCCTGTACCTCCCGCTTAGTTATTTGTGTACCTTAACTGCTTGAGATTTTTAGCATAATCTCGTTTATTTTTATTTCTCACTCATCCAGAAAGAGGAATAACATTCTTTTGGTTGCAGATCTATTTCCATGACATACCAGATCAAGTTATAGATAAGCTGGTATAACTTTCAGCTGAATTCTTAGTCATTGATCTTATCAGTTGATGCATGCTGTAGTCTGTTGTCTTAAGATCTTTTCTTTTCCCTGATCAGATTGAGGAAGGGATAGTTCTTTATGCAGCTGGTGGCTTGATAATTGAACATCCTCTTATTTTACCTTGTATTAAGGAAGTGGTGAGTGTACCTTTCTCTCAAATATCATCCAACACAAGTCATAGTCGTGATGGTTTTAACATTTGTTTGTTTGACCCTTCATCCTTATGGAGACCTAAACTTTCATGAAGCCATTGATGCCAATGCAATAAAAATAAAATGATGGGACAGAATATCTCTGGAATACCTGACCGAATGAAAGAACTTCACTGATTTTTATTTAAGGCAGGATACCCAGATTTTTATATTCAGGCCGGATACAAATCCAAATCTACTCTTGTCCTGATAGGTATACGAATGCTTCCCAGTGGCTCTTGTCAAGAAGAAGCCGATATGCTCATTAGGTCTATGGAAAAGCTGCTTTAGAGTTTCGAGAAGGTGTTTTTGCATAAGGCATGATAGAGCTACGAGTGTCTTACAGCATATAAAGGATATTAAAGTGTTTGGTTAATCGTGAAAGGAACTTGTCGTTTGTATAAGATGTACTATTAAAGATACCTTTTGGAAGTGCCTTTCCATAAAAATTTAGGCTTTAGACAAAGTCACACCTTTTACTTGATTTTACCAAGCACTAAAAGTCCTCTAAAGAACAAGAAGTACCACAACCTTAATGAAATGCTTTTGTGACTTGGTTGCCAACCACTCTAAGAAACTTAAGGAATAGAACTTTCTTTCCTTCTGATGGAAAAGTTTTTTTTGGTTCTTGCTGCTAAGCATTCCCGAAAGACCCTCCACGCCTCTTTTAGTACTAAACGGCAACTTGCATCAGCATCTGATGTCAAATATTCTGCATATACCATGTTTTATTCTTTTTTTTCTTCTTGTTTATGTATATTTACGACTTGTTATAATTTGTAAGATGGTTTTTATCTGGGCAGGTTGGTTCAACTGATAGCGTGATGGGTCTCCCAAAAGCTCTGACTGAAAGACTTATAAAGGAGGTTCTCTAATATGACTTGGAATTTTTCTGGGCCAAGTCCTACCTCATTAGTCGACCCCAACTTGCTTAGGACCAAGGCATGGTCATTTTCAATGGTCCGCCCTCATTCTTATTTATGACATTTCTGAGTGATATCATGAATTGAGTTCTATGTCAGTGATCTCTAAGACACAATCCAAATGTTTACTCAAAGATCATAAATGCTATTTCATGTACTAGATGTCCTATGCTTATCAGCTGGTAATGGACATCTAATGGTATTTTATTGTACTTTAAGATATCCTCTCAGTTTACATCTCATTGCCGATGGTATAATTGGTTATGGCTTATTTTATTGCATTCCAATTAAGCAAAGGTTCAAATCTTAGCCGGTTGCAATTTTTTCATAAGGCAAAGGCGCAAGGTGGTGTAGAAGTTAATACCTCAGTAGGGTAGCATGGTGGTGTGTTTTACTTGTTTCTTTTATATATACGTTACAAGGTGGGAATCAAATCCTTACCAATAAATTAAAATAGCCAACCAATTGGATTACTAAAACTCCTTTGATCCTTTTTTTCATATTCTTTTTTAATACTACTAATACAATCTAATCTAAAATGCAACAAGTTAATGAAAATTAACTAAAACTATAAAAAGTTCACAAGCAAAAAATGTGCAGAAATCATTTTCAAGCTACACAGTACATTATAATACTCAAAGTTACATTAGGTTCTTACATTATATTACTCAAAGTTACATTAGGTTCTTACATTATATTACTCAAAGTTACATTAGGTTCTTAAATTATAAATAAGGTGGGGTCTGGCATATAAATTCTTGTTGACACTCAATTTTTAAGTTCATCTTAGACTTATATTACACAGAAATAATAGTAATAATAAGAAGAAGAATAACAATATAGAGCAAAATGTTGTATAAGTTACAGTTAAATCTTCAAAAGAAATGCTATTGAGTGCAAAGAGGCTTTCTTGGAGCATATAAGGTGGATAACGCAATGCTTTAGCGTTCTAAAAGACAACGTTGCCGATTTGATTTTCTCTTCAATATTAATGGAAGCAGTCACTAATGCTTGCATTAGGGTAATAAATATGTCTACATTATACCTCTTAAGGGTGCGACCCTTCCCTTGACCTTGAGTGAATGCGTTATTTTTTGTGTATCGGATTGCCTTTTTTTACTAATGAGTGTTCTCATCTAATGTCTGGATAAGATCATAAAGAGGAACAAATTTGTAACATGGAATCCATTATAACTCTAGCAGAACATGGACAGTTATATTTGGAATGTATATATAGTTGCTATCAAAGGAAATTTATCCAACAATGAAAACCAAAATAATCTTTTATTGGAGTTCCACTGCTCATATAAAATAGGCTCCTTCTGAATAATATAAAGTACTGTGCTCTTTCTCGCTTTTATTGGAGCTTCAAATACTTCAGCCTGTCCAAAAAAGAAGGAAAAAGAAAATAAGAAGAATTTAATCCCAACTCATCATAAGAGAACCTAAGCGGCAATGGCGCTGAAGTATGATTTTCATCGAGGGAATTCAAAAAATTTTAAAAGTAAACACACGAGAAGCTAAGGGGATTCAACATCTAATATATATACATGAAAAAAAATTTAACCTTATATACACGATGTAATATTCAATGAAGAGGTTTCGGTTGAACCCTTTCTGCCCATCTAGCTCCGCCCATGCCAAGAGGTAGCTTATATACAATTTATCATCACATACTTTCACGTGGTTTGCATATTGAAACAGTTCAAGTGTAAGAAACACAAACAAGTACAGATTTTGGAGATAATTTTATCCATGATCATTGAACTTTTGTGTTTGTTATCCAAAAGTCATTTTTCTTTGTTTGGTTACGTAAAAATCATTCAACTTTGTGTTCATTACACAAAAGTCATTTTACTTTCTTTTGTTACACAAAAATCATTTTACTTTGCTCTAGTTATCACAAAAATCACATTTTTACTTGAAAGTCTATTATGTCCTTGATATTATATAAACCTTCATATTTATGTAATACCTTCTATATTATATACTATGTAATATACTTTTAACTATGTATTTTATTTTATAAATAAAATAACTTAATATTATTTTATTTTTTTATAATATATTCGTATATTTAATTTTTTCTTAACGTTAATTTTCAAGATATATTAGTAGCGTTATAAAACAACTTTTTTTCAGCAATTTTTTTTAAATTTAATTGACCGACCAAAGTTGGTCTGTAATTACCGACCAAAGTTGGTCTGTAATTACCGACCAACTTTGGTCAGTATGCCCTTCCGACCTTCAAAATACCGACCACACGTTAATGGTCGCATTTTGGACGGTTATTGGCCATTACCGACCAACTTTGATCGATTTTTTGAATGGTTTTTTTCCGAATTTCTTGTAATATAATTTCCCAAATAACCAATTACCCAAGTGAATCCCCAAGAAATATCCCTAGCTCAATTCACATGTAGTACCTAGGAATTTTCCTTCAGATTAACATATGATTTTTTCCTCATTTTCTTGTTTGTTTACTTGCGAATTTTCTCACGGAAATGCACTTGCCGATTTATTTCTCTACTAATATATGTTAAAGTTACTGACAAATTTAAAAATGCCACTAATATATTTTGAAAATTAACGTTAAGAAAAAATTAAATATACGAATATATTATAAAAATAATATTAAGTTATTTTATATATAAATAAAATACATAGTTAAAAATATATTATATAGTATATAATATAGAAGGTATTACATAAATATGAAGGTTTATATAATACCAAGGGTATAATAGACTTTTCAAGTAAAAATATGGCTTTTGTGATAACTAGAGCAAAGTAAAATAATTTTTGTGTAACAAAAGAAAGAAAAGTGACTTTTGTGTAATGAACACAAAGTTGAATGATTTTTACGTAACAAAAAAAAGAAAAATAACTTTTGGATAACAAACACAAAAGTTCAATGGCCATGAATAAAATTAACTCCAGGTTTTGGATGTACTAATAATATATGAGTAAAGAAGAATAACGAATGTGCCGTGTACATTTCTACATGGAAAAACATGTTTGAATCTCTATTCAAGGATATATATGTATACGACGAGTAAAGAAGAATAGACAAGAGGGGTTGCTCTGATGGTAAGCAACGTACACACTACCCTCTTCAGACCCGGATTATACTGGGTTGTTGTTGTAGTTGACAAGTAAAAATCTTAATCGGTAAAGTAATTTTTACGCTATCTACATGCAATGTTCACAAAATCGAGGAATAGATATTTAATTGATAACATTGTGAGATTGTTATTTAATTTTACGTACCTTTGCTCTTCATCATCCATGAAATTGTAGCCTTTACCATTATTTGCCTTGTTGTAATTAGGCAAAGCAACATTTCCAGATTCAATGTGTTTAATATCTTCAACAAGTTTTTCATAATGCCTTTTCACTTCTTCCTCAGATTTTCCACCTACTGCTTTGGCCAAATTACGCCACCTGTCTGGTGTTTCCCTGTCATAAATAGCCAATGCATTCTCAAACAACTTGTTTTGCTGGTGTGTCCACGTTGAATTTGACGCCATTTTTTTGGTTATAATTGCAAAAATTGATAAAAATATAAGGAAAGAAATAAATGTATAGTTGTGTTAAAAGTGATGATAAAGAGAAGATGCAGTGAACGTTTTTGGTGCAGAGAAAAGCTAACATGTTTGTTCGATTTATATAGCAATGGGGACAGAAATAGACAGAATATGGTGGGCCGGTGAAGAGGCGTTCTCCTCTTTTTTATTTCTTTTTTCTTTAGCTTCTTGTGTTGTTAGTATAATTTAAAAACCATGGGAATTTTCGTAAAAGCCAACATGGTTTTTTTCCCAATTATTACAAAAGTTAACCCTCAATTCGCAGACAAAATTATTTGGAGTCTGATCTATAGGTCACGAGATCGAGTCGTGAAAGTAACTGTTAATGCTTGAATTAGGGTAGGTCCAGAGGCATATCCAAGTTGATAAATATGGATTCACGCTAAAAAATTCTTATAGTGCAATTATTATTGGGTGCACCTCTACAAGTAAAATTAGTAGTTCAAATCCCACTCTGAACGGTCTTGTCTTCGGCACGAAATATACATACATATATANTAATTTTGAACCTATCATTTCAAAAGTATAGTGGGTTCATGGTAAGAGACTAAAGTTAAACCCGTCAAATATAAATTCTAGATCCACATCTTCACAACAGTGCACCCATCCTCTTGAAATCCTGGATCCGCCTTTGGGTAGGTCTATCTGTTTGAAAAAATAGACCCGTAAAAATAATATTCACGGTATTAGTGATAAACACAGAACACTAAGTTATGATTAAATCAGCAAGAATAGAAATGCAGCAATAATGACACCAAGATTTTACGTGGAAACTCTTCTGGATAAGGGAAAAACCACGGCCAAGAAGAGCAACTGATATCACTATAGCGAGGAATTTTACACTGTGTAGTAACGAGTAAAAATACTCCTAAGACCACTACACCCTTAAAAGAAATAAACACTCTTTTGCTTTTTCCACCTCACTACAATATCTCTCACACTCTATTTTTCTTCACAAACTATTTTCTTATAGTTTATGGAATACCTTGCTCTCTCTTTTCTCTCTTTGTTGGTGTGTTGAAATGAGAGTTGAAGCTCTCCTTTTATAGCCAAAAAACTCACTCTCTAAAGGCTATGATATTTGACAATTTGCACACACTTTTCACAATTTCAACAAGGTTGGCTACCAAACCAAACCAAGTCAATAAAATTGGCTACCAAATCATTTGAATGAGATGGACACCATATCAATCTCCCCCTCCAGTCTCATTCATCTAGAGGAGGTAGCACTGTCTTCTAGTCTGAGTGTATGCCGACAAGTTCTTTGCATAGCTCGAACTTGTCTCTTGGTACCGCCTTGGTCAACATATCAGCTTAATTTTCACTTGTGTGAATCTTTTTGACCTGAAGTGATTCGTTCTCCACTTGCTCATGAATCCAATGATATCTGACGTCGATGTGTTTTGTTCTTGCATGGTACATGGAGTTTTTTCTTAGGTCTATTGCACTTTGACTGTCGCAATAGACAACATACTCCATCTGTCGCAATCCAAGTTCTTGAAGAAATCTCTTGAGCCATATCATCTCTTTGCCTGCTTTAGTAGCCGCAATATACTCCGCTTCAGTTGTGGACAGTGCGACACACTTCTGTAACTTCGACTGCCATGATGTAACTCCCCCTGAAAAAATAAACAAATATTCTGTAGTGGATTTTCTGTTATCAAGGTCACCTGTCATATCAGAATCTGTATAGCCCTTCAAAATATTGGATTTGATCCTTCAAAACATAAGCATTCATGTGAGCTTCCTCTTAGATACCTGAGTATCCACTTTACAGCTTCCCAATGCTCTTTTCCTGGATTTTTGAGAAATCTGCTAATAACACCGACTGCATGAGCAATATCTGGTCGAATGCATACCATTACATACATCAAACTTCCGACAGCAGAGGAATAAGGAATCTTGGCCATTCTCTCTTTTTCCTCCGTTGTTGTAGAGCACATCTTCTTGCTCAACTTCAGATGACCAAGAAGGGGTGTGCGATCCAACTTAGCACTTTTCATATTGAAGCGCTCCAGAACACGTTCTATGTACTTCTTCTGTGACAAGTAAATCTTTCTTTCGTTTCTCGAACAAGTAATTCTCATTCCCAAAATCTGCTTAGCATGACCCAAGTCTTTCATTGCAAAAGACTTATTCAACTGTTTCTTCAACTCGTCAATCTTGGAAGCATTCCTGCCCACAATCAACATATCATCCACATATAGCAAGAGGATGATAAAATCATCATCAGAAAATATTTGTACAAATACACAGTGGTCTGAAGAAGTCTTCTTGTAGCCTTGCTCCCCTATAACAGACTCAAACTTCTTGTACTATTGTCTGGGAGTTTGCTTCAATCCATATAGTCTCTTCTTAAGTTTGCATACAAGATTTTCTTTACCTTTTGCCTTGAAGCCTTCAGGTTGTTCCATATAAATCTCCTCTTCTAAGTCACCATGAAGAAAAGCAGTCTTCACATCCATCTGCTCAATCTCCAAATCAAGACTGGCAGTCAAACCAAGAACTGTCCGAATGAAGGACATTTTCACGATAGGAGAAAATATTTCGTCAAAGTCAATACCTTTCCTTTAACCAAATCCCTTGACAACCAATCTAGCTTTGTATGTGGGCTTCAAACTATGTTCTTCAACTTTAACTTTGAACACCCACTTGTTTTTCAAAGCTCTCATGCCCTTAGGCAATTTCACCAACTCGTAAGTATGGTTTTCATGCAGAGATTTCATCTCATCTTGCATGTCTTCAATCCATTGATCCTTGTGCTCATCTTCTATGGACTCCGCATAACATTCAGGTTCTCCCCCATCAGTGAGTAATACATAATCATTGGGTGAATAATGGGAGGAAGGAGTACGAGGTCTAGAAGACCTCCTGAGTAGAATATCTAACTCGTCCACAACTTCGTGAGTAGGAGCATTTACCTCATCAACATTAGCATTGTTATCACCATCACCATCACCATCAATATGCTGATCTGGAATATGGTTCTGGGCATCACCATCATCATTGAGCCCACCAGCGTCATTCGCATTTGTATGAGAAATTTGATCAAGATTAACTAAACCTTTAGAACTTGGAGATTTTAGCTTCCCCGCTTTGTTAATATCTTCAATGGTTTGATCATTCACGAAGATAACATCACGGCTTCTCACGACCTTCTTCTCAATTGGATCATATAGCATGTAACCAAACTCATCAAGGCCATAACCAATAAAGATGCACTGCCTTATCTTGGCATTTAATTTTGGCCTCTCATCTTTAGGCACATGTACAAAAGCTTTGCAACCAAACACTTTCAAGTGGTCATAGAAAACATCCTTGCCATACCAAACTCTGTTTGGAACATCACTTTGCAAAGAAACCGCAAGGGATAGATTAATAACATGTGTGGCGGTCAACAAAGCCTCATCCCAAAAGGAATTCGGTAACTTTGCTTCAGAAAACAAACATCTGACTCTTTCCATCAAGGTCCTATTCATCCTTTCTGCTAAACTATTAAGCTGAGGAGTCTTAGGAGGAGTCTTCTGGTGTCTGATACCCTGTTGTTTGCAGTATTCGTCAAATGGTCCATAATATTCACCACCGTTATCAGTACGAATACACTTCAGCTTCTTTCCAATTTCTCTTTCAACTGAAGCCTGAAACTGCTTAAAGACACCCAACACTTGGTCTTTAGTCTTCAAGATGTAGATCCAAAGTTTCCTTGAACAATCATCAATAAAGGTAGCAAAATAAAGCGTACCACCCAAAGTCCTTGTCTTCGCTGGACCACATAAATCTGAATGCACTAACTCAAACAACTCTGTCTTTCTTGAAGGGGGATGAAACTGGAAAAAAACTCTTTTTTGTTTTCCAGCCAAGCAGTGCTCACATTTTTCTAATTTTGCACTTTCAAAATTTGACAAAAATTTCTTCTTGGCCAGAACATTTAGTCCTTTCTCGCTAATGTGGCTAAGCCTTTTATGCCATAACGTTGAAGAGCTATTGCTCTCAACGACATTCACCATATCAACACAGGTAGAGGTCGTAGTCCAGTATAGACCATGACGTTTTTTCCCACGAGCCACAATCATCGAACCTTTAATGAGCTTCCACTTTCCAGCACCACTGGTACTGACATATCCCTCATCATCCAAAATACCAACAGAGATCAAATGCAAACGAATATCAGGTGCATGCTTTACATTATTTAAAACTAGTTTAGTTCCAATACTAGTTTCCAAACAAATCGTTCAAACACCAGTCACCCTAGATACAGTCTCATTACCCATACTCAAAGTTCCATAGTCACCCTGAGTATAGGATGAGAAAAATTCATTCCTTGATGTCATATGAGATGCGGCACCACTGTCCACAACCCAGCTTGACTCGTCACAAGCAATATTTATCAGATCCGCATCAAGGATAGTAACAAGATCTTCTGTAGTGACGGTGGCCACACGATTGTCATATTATTTCTGTTCTTCCTTGTCTCTATTCTCCTTTTTCAAAATCCTGCAGAACTTCTTTGTGTGCCCTTTCTTCTCGCAATGATAGCACTCAATATCTTTAAGTCTGCTTCTGGATTTGCTTCTATTATGTTATCTATTTTGAGAACCCCGATTCTTGCTTCTCCCCCTAGAGTCAGTCACCAAGATATCTGATGAGGAGGAACCCTGAGATTTTCTTCTCATCTCTTTATTTAAAAGGCTGCTCTTGGCAAGATCCATAGAGATCACACCATCTGGAGCAGAATTTGATAATGAAGTTCTAAGAATTTCCCAAGAATCTGGTAGGGAACCAAGTAGAAATAAGCCTTGAATTTCTTCATCAAATTTAATGCCCATAACAGATAACTGGTCCATGATCCCCGGAATATTATTCAGATGATCTATCATCGCTGAACCATCGTGGTATTTAAACCCAACATCTGCTTTATCAGAAACATCTTGTTGTTTCCAGTTTTTTGAGCATACAAACTTTCAAGGTGCTCCCATAGGGTCCGAGTATGTGTCTCCCCAGAAATATGGTTCAAAACATTATCGTCAACCCACTG